AGCAAATATTCTCAGGCGACACATTATGCAGGACAGGAATTTTGACCTGCAAAAAGGGACCTACCTTCAATTTGAGCAGGAAATCCAGAAAAGGGGATGAGATTTGTTCACTATATGTGCTGGGCATGGGTGGAAGGACATCACCCAGGAGTTCTATGCCAATGCCTTCAGGGTTAAGGGAGATGATTTCCCCTACAGGCACTCCATGGTCAGAGGCAAGGTGATAGACTTCAACCCTGCCAACATCCAGAGGATCCTCAACATTCCTCTTCCTGAAAATAGGCCTAGACAGGTAGACTACACTACCTTCAGCTACTTGGAGGAAAAGGACTATAAGTCAATCCTTCAAGCAATATGCAATGCTGGAGAGAATTGGGAATTTGACATGAAGCTCCAGCCCAAGAATCTGACTACAAAGCACCTTCTTCCACCTGCCAAGGTCTGGAGCATCTTCATCCTTAGCTCCTTCATGCCAGTCATGCACTCATCTACCCTGGCAGTGAAGAGGTCAGAGCTAGTTTATGCCATCATGACAGGGATGCCCATCCATGTTGGCGATGTTATTAGCAATGCCATCATGGAGATCCTAACCAGGAAGAAGGACTCCATGGGTTTTCCCTCCATCATTACTATGCTCTGCCAGGATGCTGGAGTTGACTTTGGGGAGTATCAGCAGAAAATTAGAGCAGCTCCCTGCATCACCACAGCTATGGTGAAGGAGTTGTTTAAAGCTAAGAAGAGCTCAGTCCCTGAGATGCCTCCCCAAGCTGCAGGAAAGAAAGGCTTCCCTTAAAAAATGAAGGACCAGTTGAAGGAAATAGCTCTGCGACAAGATGCTATACATGCTGGTCAGAAGGCTGCTCTGACCCTCACAGAGACTATGTTGCTCAACATAGGGAAGAAGGTGGGGATGACTGCTGACCAGATCTACTATACCTCCACCTTCTCAGCCCCTTATCTTCGAGCAGCAGTTCAGAATGATCTTCCACCTTTCACACTTACAGCAGAAGAGGAGGAGGAAGAGGAAGATAGCAGCTCAAAGGGGGAGCCAGTACCAGACCCAGCAGCAGCAGCAGAGGAGCATGATGATGAGGACACCGACACTGATACAGCTGATGATAACCTCTCTTCCAGCTCTGACGAAGACGCAATTTAGCTTAAAATTTCTATTTCTGTTATTTATTTAACCTTCTCTTTCATTGTATATATTTTTTCTGCTAATTTCCCTGTAATTAGTACACTTTTCCATTTATTTTCCCTGCCTTTAATTTTCCTTTATTGCTTCTACTCTGAACAACAACTTAACTCTTTTATGCTATATATATATTATCTGAGTTTGAGTTATTTTGTTCAGCTGGTGCTGAATTTATTGTCTCTTTGTGCAGAGAATGCCCTCAGTTCCATCAAGAGGAGCATCATTTTTTTTGCCCATGAGTTGAGATACTATCATTCATAAAAAGGGGGTGAAGTTCTCTGCCTCTATTTCATATACTCTTAACCTCATTTTTCCTGCACAATTATACATTAAAATACAAAAATATATCTTTGTTCTTTTTCTTTTTCATTGAATCCAATTTTGTAATTCCAATTCTAGACTCTTACTGCAATTTTCATTCAATTCATGAACACACTCTACTTTTGTAAATAATTTTCTCTCCATGCCATGTTGAATATCTTTTCTTGCAAGGTGAATTATCCTCACATGATGTTAAGTAGTTATCACCATTTTTACCATGGTAGAGAATTGAGCCCCTAATTATCTTTCTGTGTGTATATTCCATGTCATTTTGCATCTATTCTCTAGAACTTGCCCTATTTCTTAGTTGAATATGCATTATGCAATTTTTATCTAGATGATTGAGGCCTCCTTTACACACACCCACTCACCATTGCCCACCCTTGCACCTTCATGTATTACATCCCCTTCTTTTGTTAAACTTAGTCTGCTAAACATTTTTTTTCTTCTTCCATCAAGAACATATTTCTTTTGAGTAACATCATGAGTGAATGCAAACACTAAGTTTGGGGTGTTGATTTTGACGGTAGTTGCTTGAGGGCAAGCAACTCTCAAGTTTGGGGTAGTGGACATCGTACATGTTACTAATACCTGTCAAAAATAAAAAAGTGGTTGCCAAAGTCCAAGAAATCATAAAAGAAAGAATGAAAAAGGAAAGAAAATAAAAAGTGCTTGAACCTCTTTGGCTACCTCATTTGATGCATTTCATTCTAATTGTTGTATTTACTCACTCAAGAGGATTCCCTTATCTTGAAAACCCACTTGAGCTTTAGATCCTCCTTGATCAAATTGAACCTTACCTATCCCTATTTGTGACTAACCAAGTCCTTTTGATAGGTAAATCATTGTATTAAGGCAAAGAATATTGAGAATATGGGCAAGCATATAGTAGGGTAGAGCAATTTACATGTATTGAGGGAAAATACCTAGCTTGAAACACTGACGAGTGAAGAGTGAAACACCACCTTGTGAGCTAGATAATTTCTTTGTATTGTGTGAAGTATGATGAACCTTGTTGAATTTTTGTTTCACTTGTATGGGACTTTGCATAAAATTAATTGATACGAGTGTGTTTTCTTTATTGAATGACTCCATGATTTTGAAATGGAGGAAGTGTATATTAGAGTTGAAAGATTGGAACAGAAAAATTTTGAAAAAAATATTTTTTTTGGATAAGTCCAACCCTTTTTACTTTAGTCCTTGAATTTTGGTTTGCTTGAGGACAAGCAAAAGTTTAAGTTTGGGGTTGTGATGACTCCATATTTTAATAAATTTTTATACATCATTTATTACTTTTTATAGAAAAGAATAGACTTAGATAGTGAAAATAAGATGAACATTCCAATTAGGCTAAATAATATAGGTTTCTTAGTTTTTGGTTAATTTACATTGATTTAGATAGTTTATTTTACATGTTTTGATCATTTGAATAATGTGGCAGGAATCCCCAAGCTTATTTTGAAGAATTATTAGATTTTGAGGAATTTGAGGTGAAAGTAACTTCTTTCAAGATTGATAGTGACAACTACAGCAAGCCACTTCCAGCAAAGGGACCAAAGTGATCACTTTCAAAGCTTAAAGTGACAATTACAGCAGCCCAGAATCTACTAAACCTGCGCATGGTTACTATGAAAGTTCATAGTAATCACTCCAGAGCATGCAGAATTGAAGGTGCTGCGCGTAGTTACTATCAAAGTTCATAGTGACAACTCCAGAAAGTCCAAAATATCCCAGTGTTGCGCGTGGTTACTATGAATCTTTCATAGTAATCACTCCAGAGAGGCAAAATCCAACTGATGCTACGCGTGGTTATTATGAATCTTTCATAGTAATCACTCCAGAGAGGCAAAACCCAACTAATGCTGTGCATGTTTACTATGAAAGACTGAAAGTAATTACTTTAGAGGGCACCAGCTTTAGTATAAATAGATTTTTACCAAATTAGGGTAGAGAGTTCTTACATTTTTTGAACCTTTTCTCTTCTTTACTAAATTTAGGACATTTTCCAGAGCTTAGGGCAACCTTGGGTGACAGCCAAGGGTCCAACCTAGGGTTTGGTTTCTCATTTCTCTTGCTTTTACATTAATGTTAATGAGTTTTCTGCATTTTCCAACTGCTTTTTTTACCCCCATTTCCATGGAGGGCTAAATTTTGTGTAATCCTTAGTAAGTTCACACGGATTCTTAAGTTCCTTGATTTTAATGATAATATAATTTCTTTCTTTTCATGAATTACTTCTTCCTTGTCTCTTGAATTGAATTAATGGTGAATGAGGGGAATATTGCTTAATTAACCGTAATTCATTTTAAGGAGATTCTAAACTAGGGATTGCTTAATCCTAGGTTTAATTCTAAGGTTGCGTAACTTTGGGATAAGAGATTAGAGCCTAGCAAATTGCGTAATTTCGTTAGGACAATAAGGTTGATTTTTGCTTGTTAAATTAACCTAATTCATGGGAGAGAGGATGAATGTTAAATCTTGAGTGGAATGAGGATAAAATCTTTATGGATGAACTAAGGATTGCTATTTTCTATTGTTTGAATTAATTAAACTTGTTTGCTCATTGCTCTTTATTTTGATTTGAAACCACAAAACTCCCTATTTTAATTGCTTGTTCAATTAGTGCCTTCAACATGTTTAATGAAGATTAATAGCCAATGTTAATGGGAGACATGTAGGGTAACCCTAGTACTACATTAATTTGTTTAAATTTTGATGAGGATTTGCAACAAATCTTTTAAACACTCAAAAGGAAAAATACCATCATCAATTATCAAATAAGATTACTTACTGAAGAAATGGCTCAACTTTTGTACAATTGGTCAATACATGACGATGTGCTTGTAATTTTTCCTTTGAAGATAAAGTGAAGTAACTAAAGACACCAATTGGATTTTTGATCGGTGGAAACAAAGAGTTTGCACTAGATAATTCTACATTTGGCTGATCATCAACACGACCCAATAGGGTACATCCATCGATATTGGACAGGTCCTCTAACCTTGGCTTATTCAATTAAGTGTACAATCAAATGAACCATGACTGTAAAAAATGAAGGTGGAAATAACATTTCCATATGACATAATGTGCGAATAATTCTACTTTGCAATTGGTCAAGTTCATTAACAATTAAAACTCTGCTACACAATTGTGTGAAAAATGAACACAAATCAATTAACATTGCTGATACTTGGCTTGGGAGTGTCTTCCTCATTGCTAAAGGCAACAATTGCTCTATTAAAACATGTGAATCATGACTTTTTAATCCACTAATCTTTCGTTGCCTGATATCAATACATCTACTAATATTACTTGAGTAGCCATCTGGAACAGTAATATTTTTTAATGTCTTTAAAATCAGCTCTTTATTTGTACTTGTTAATGTGAATAAAGCTGGAAGATATTTTCCATTTTCATTAGGCCATAAATCAGATCTTATGCCCCACTCTTGCATTTAAATGGTCTTTTGATTTTCTAGAATCATTTAACAAAGTATATTATCACATACATTTTTCTCAATGTGCATGACATCAAGATTATGACGTAATAAATTATTCACCCAATAAGGAAGTTCAAAAAAGATACTCCTCTTACGCCATTGTGAAGGTTCAGCTTGTGTACCACTAACTCGATGCATTTTTTTTGCCCTTCCTTCAACATCTAAATCTTTTCCAAACACCACATTAATCATCTGAACTTGTTGCCATATAGATGCACTGGTTATTGCTACAGGAGGGTTTCTATTTTCTATATTTCCATCAAATCGTCTTCGAGCTAATCTAAATTTGTGCCCTTCATTCAAAAATCGAGGATGACCCATGAAACACCACTTTCGACTATGAGGAAGTCGGCTAGGAACTGAGTCAAAATTACAAGTAGGACATGCTAAACCAGTATATGTATTCCATCCATATAAGGTTCCAAGACCAGGAAAATCACTAATAGTCCACATCACAACTGCATGCATGTTAAAAACTTCATTGCTATATGAATCAAAAGTTCTAACACTAGTAGTCCATAAATTAAATCTTTCAATTCTTCTATTAATGGTTGAAGATATACATCAATATCATTTCTCGGTGCTTGCTTACCAAGAATGATCATCGACAGGATAAATGAACTCTGTTTCATGCACATCCAAGGAGGAAGGTTGTACGGTATGAGCATAACTGGCCAAATACTATAACTCGTGCTCAAATTGCCGAAAGGATTAAAGCCATCAGTAGCCAACCCAAGGCGTACATTTCGAGAGTCTAAAACAAATTTAGTATACATTAAGTCAAATTTCTTCCATGCTTTTGAGTCTCTTGGATGCCTTAATATGCCCTCAGTAGTACTTTCTAATCCATGCCATCGCATATGCTCAGCAGTTTTTGAAGACATAAACAACCTTTGCAAACGTGGCTTTAAGGAAAATATCTCAACTTTTGTAGGCACCTTTTTTCGTTTATTAGTAGTACTAGTATTTGCACCCTTATCTTTGGACTTCCACCTAGATTGTTTGCATGTCTTACAAGTATCTCTATTTGCATCTTCTCTAAAGTATAACATACAATCCCTCAGACAGGCATGAATTTTGGTGTAATTAAGACCAAGTTTGGCAATAGTTTTCTTCGCTTCATAGAATGAAGATGGAATATTAGCATGTTCAAAAGCATCAGCCAACAGCTCTAGGATCATTGACATTTCCTTGTCACTTACTTTACAAAGACATTTAATATGATACAACTTGACCAAGAATGAAAGTTTTGAATATTTATCACATCCTTCGTACAAACTTTGTTGACCATCCCTAATTAACTCCAAAAATTCTGCACTGTTATCAGGCAAGGCTTGGTTTGATTGTGGACAAATATCATCATTTTCTTGCATTTCATCGCGACTTATATGATTTCTAAATAAATCATTGACCATATCACATATAGGATCACTAGCAATAACTCTATCTTCAATCTCCCGAGACATTGAAGGTGTTTCAACTGTAGTATCTGCATGACTTATCTCTCTGTGTCTTAACCAAACTGTATACCCTTTCGGAAAAGGTTTTACAATCAAATGGTCATATACTTCTTCTCGTGGTTTCCATATATTAAACTTGCATTTAGGACATGGACATATTATCCTACCTTCAACACTCCCATTGGCAAATGCAAAATTTAAAAGCTATTCAATCCTTCCACATATTGTGGTGTATTTCGAGGCATGTTAATCCATGATTTATCCATTATTTCTGAGAAGCAAATATAATGAGTAAATTAAGTTTGAATAATACTAAGTATAAGGACCCATAAACAAGAGAGAATCAATTTATAAAAATACATTCTTAAATAGATCAATTACTCCTTTATCTATATATATATATGTAGGCCGTTTGAAAACATGTTACGTTCCTAACTACTTGAAAAATTGCATATAAATACTATTCCTTAAAGTGGTAATGATACACAAGTTATAGCTATTAGCAATTATCACAAGTTAACCTCAAAATAAATCTTCAAATAATGCTAACTTTGAAATGTAACTAATGTACACTTATCGAGATAGAAAATTTTCTAACTTTGAAATCTCCTTGTTTATATTTAGAAACTCAACAAACAATTTTAATCGTCAAGCCACCAAAGGAGGGAAATTAGCCTGCAAAATTGTATAGTGACAATGAATAAGCCTGCAAAAATTATATTGTCATAAATAAACTAGTTCACACAATAGTGATGCTTGTAAATTCATTCCTTCACACTACAACAACACCAATAACTAAAAAATCAAACAATGCACTACAACTTCAAATACTGCCAACTTAATCAAGTAACATTGTCCGATCCCACCATATGGTCATATTTTATAGAAGAAATTCAACTTAATTGAGCCTTCACAAGTCTCGAAATTATCTATTTTTATTTTTTATTTTCTTTAGTGCATCGATAGTTTTAGACAAAAATACCTATTAGCTTTTCTTGAGTGGCATGTTCTAACCATGACAAGATATATTGAGCGAGAAGAAGTGAGTATCTTGGAATGTCCAGGTTATGACGATGTTATTGGCTTAAATATATTTTGTGATAAAAGAATAATGTTGCACTAGAATTCTCTTATGCAATATCAATTTGATTTGACAAGTTTAATAGAGGAAAGTGGTGGTTTCTGTTTGCCAACTCTGCAGCAATCTTATGTCCATTGAATAGTATTTAAAACTGAACGTAACCTAAAGACGCCTGCTGTTTTATATGAAGTGTTTCCTGTTATTCTTGTCAGTTTAGTGTTTACCAACTTCTGAAATCATTTTCTCAATCTGTCAACAATATTCTATCCCCAGAACCACCACTATCTTCCAAACTTTATAAATAAAGGTCTCATGTACCTCAGCTGCGAACAATGATAGAGTCGATCAAAATGGATATGCAAGTGAACACAAATTATCTTTCATGACATTGGTTTTGATAAGAAAAATACTGAAATATCATAGCTTTTCTTGAGTGGCATGTTCTAACCATGTTCAAAGTGATTAGGATATATAAGGACCTGCCCTCAATGTTACACATTTAATTATTTTTTGTGGATTTAGCATTAATCATTATGATGAATAACATGTAATCAGACAAGGGTCCAAATCCAATAGTATTTTGCTTTATCATTTATACTACAATTTGATATTTTATTATATATCTTTAGACATATGTTAAAAAAATCATTATTTTATTAAAGTTATAAATTATAAACGTTTTAAAATTTTTAGATCTATGAATTTTTAATATGAATTGCATATCCTGCGAGGAAAAATAATCTACTGCAGGGGATCCTGTTCCAAATTGTAAAATAGTTGTGTAGTAACAGTACATTGAAAAGGAATAATGGAGACACAGTTGATATTAAATAGCAAATTTTGTGACCCCTTTTCTTTTTTGGCTCAATACTGAACCAGTTTCAGCTCTTATTTTCTTTTGAGCTTAAACCACTTTACTTTTTCTTTCATAAACTACTATCAAGATACATTTGAATGTAAACTTTACTGCACAAGCTTTGAAAGTAAACACTACCTGAACACAAGATCTACCAGTTTACATTAGCTGAACATGATAACATGCATAAAAAGAATTGGCTTTTTATTTCTTCAAACAAAAGAAAAATAAAGTTTATATTTGTATGACGCATTCAACAAAGCTTTGATTTAGAATTCAGCTCAACAATGAAGTTTTGGGCCAGTGAGGTTCTCAATGGGAAGTACTACACAACACTAAACACTCCCAAAAGTTTTGTCTTGTTATCATTCACTCTATTTCTCATAATTCTTCCTCTTTCTCTTATGATCTTCTCACATGAAACATACCCAAAGATATCTACTATCACCACTTTGAACAGCACAAAAGCAAAACAATGTGAAATTTTTTCTAGGAGATGGATTCGTTATCCTAAAGGACCTTACTACAGCAACAAAACATGCCATTTCATTATAGACACACAAAACTGCATCATGTTTGGAAGGCCTGATAAAGATATGTACATTCGAGATGGAAACCAGATAAACGTTATCTTCCACTCTTCAATGCAACTCAATACTTAAAACTTATTAGTGCAAAAAAATCGCATTTGTTAAAGACTTAGTGGCTAGAAATCAGATGCAGTCTTTGTTGTGTCTCCTTAATCATCAACTAAGTTATCAAACCTTGTTTTATTTCTCGATTAATCATCCATATTATAAATGCAACCAAAACAATTGCAAAAAAACAATTATAAATGTTCATCAAAAACACTAAACATAAAATCCAAACATAAAACAAAAAGCATACCTTTATACGACAATGGGAGCAAAATAACAACACCAAATCGATTCAAAGAGAGACGCCGATTTGTGAGCACAGGGAAGAGAGGATTTGTGAGCGCTGGAAATGTTAGGCAACGGGACTTGAGAAAGAGGGCTTTTGTTTCACTTTTTCGAAAAGAGACATTTCTAAGCGCGAAAGCTGATAAATTTTTTTTTTTAACATTTAGCGGGGGTTTTCTTAACCGTTGTTAATTAACAACGGTTACAATACAAAACCGCAGGAAATATTTATATTTTACTACGGTTATTTAAACTGCGGGTAAAATTCAAATTTAACAATGGTTATATGAACTGCGGGAAAAAAACTGTGGGAAAATTTCTTAATTCTAGTAGTGATAAAATAAACACTTTAATAGAACGAAAAAATAGAGCTCTCCTTCTCCTTACCTCAAGGTGAGTATGTGAAGAGAGATTGACGAAGATTTAAGTTCATCCATGGAAGTTCTCATGAGAACCAAAAGATATTTGTGAGAAATTAAAATACGAGAAACGATTAGAGAAAACAAAGTTTAATCTAGAGAAACTTACTTGGAGTCATTTGGATTTAACGTCAAAGCTTGAATTTGAGAAGTAATTGGAGTTTGACGAAGTTTTATTTGAGAGAAGGAAGTGAGAGTTTAGAGAAAGAGAGAAGAGAAAACAAGGTTTGCAATGAAATGAAATTTCCAGTAGAAAATCTCTTAAATACCCCTTAACCGCGAATGCTCACGCTTGAGAGAGGAACAGTTCACTTAAGCGACTAAATTCTTGCCTATGTAAGGTACAACTCGCTTGAGCGAGCACACCAGAAATTAGCCTCACCAAGCATTTTTGCATATGCTCGAGGTCGAGCTTGCCTGAGTGAGATGACATCGAAAGAGTTGGATATTTTTCTTGTGAGTCCTCACCTAGGCGACTTAGCTCGCCTGGGTGAGATTACCTTTTGCCTAAGCGAGGTGATAGTTGGGATAAATTTATCCTATTTAGCTTGAGTGAGTATCATCTCGCCTGAGCGGGATTGCCCTAAAATCATGTGGTTTTAGGCGCTTAATCTCACTTAAGCGAGATCTGTCTCGCCTGAGCGAGATCCTCTGCACCAGACTTTCCACCAAAACATCTCCAACTCATTCCAATACACTCTAACACTATAATACCAAACAATCATCAATTTATTAAATAATTGGAAGAATAGGGTGTTACAAAAAGCGACCTTCTTTTTGACAAAATTAAAGGCTCTTTTCATGAACCTTCAACACTTCTCAAAATGTAGCCTTCTTTTTTATAAAGAATGAGGCTTTTCCTCACGACCCTTCAAAACTCCTTGAAACGTGTCGAAGAGTAGTGTCTTCGACAAGTTTTTCAAACTTAGATTTTTCACAGGTCTTCGGCTCGTTAGAATGTGAGAACCTAGGGTTCTCTTTGCTTTTAGTCGAACAGTGTGTCCATGCCACTAATTTTTTGAGTTGAGCTTCTCCTTAAAAAGGTATAGTTTATTTCCAACCATGAAAATCTGATAAGAGTTTTGGTAACTTAAAAAAAAAATTTCCCCAAACAAAAGGATAGTAGTAATGTATTCTTTCTCTAACGATCAATATGGTACTGGATTATTCACAAGTTTCATTAAAAGCTTGATAAATGCTTAATTAATTTTTACGTAATTAGCCATTCACAAAAGATCATATAGGTGGAAAGTTAGTTAGCATGATATCACTCAAAAATATTATCAAAATTATTATAAGTTTGTATGGGCTTATTTACCAAAACAATAATAAAATTTTATTTAGTAAGATACTATTACACTAAAATTATATTTTGTTTGAAGTTGTTTTTATCTTATAATTTTATGTTTTGCATGCAGCAGAATCAATACTTGTAATGCACAGATTTTGTAATAATAATTTGATTATTAATATAAATATGTGAATTGCTATATGTTTGTGTTGAGTTATATGATGATGATGTGTATTGAATGATGGTGGAATACTTGTGTGTGAATGTATGTGAGTATAAATGTGAATATTGATTTTAGATTAAGATGGGGACTTGTTTGACTTGTGTTTGGTTTGGATTGATTGAGGAAAATAGGTTAAGAGTATGCTAAAGAGCATTCTCGCTGTAACGAGAAGGCCCTGGGCATGGAGCAGGATTCTGTTGCACTCTCACTGTA